AAACAAAAAAAAAAAAAAAAAAAAAAAATGAAACTCCAAGTCAAGAAACCAAAATAATATTTTAAGTTTGCAGTACTTTTGAAATTTTAATTAAGTTTCAAAAATCAAGAGGAACAATTTTTCGAAATTTGGAAGTTATTCTTAACAAAATGGAAAACAGCCAAAAATGACTTCTGTAGCTAAAAGTAGTTTTTTACCAGCTATTAATATTTTGTAAGGACGTGGATTTATATAAATATATTTATGATTTATATATACACACACGCACATATGTATGTATATACGCGTATGTATATATACACTTCAAATCTTGTAATTCATATATATTTTTTTCAGTTGATTATTTCCTACTCCAAATATTATTATTCATTTCTTTCCGGAAAAGTGGTTTTAGTGAAGTATTCATTAATCGCGAACAGCGAATTACTAAAACGTCAATATGTTTCCCGTTAGATCCATAAAATAAATTATAGTTTATAGAGTAATGAACAATCAGAAATTCAAACAAAAAGGCAATAAATCCAAGGCAGGGGATTAGGAATGGGAGCAAACCTCATGATCGCAATCCACAAGCTGTTGCTCGCTCAAACTAACAAGTTTTCCAGTTGACAAGAAATTAGCTCCTTCTAGCGCTCCAACAGCGCTAAAAGACCAGCACGAGCCACAAGAACCCTAAATAATCCAGAACACATACTTCTCTCAGAAAAAACGAAGAAATCAAAATCGGATGTCAAATACTGATCGATAGACTTATCTTGAACAAGTTCATTCCGAAATAACTCATACCTGATTTTTGACCGGCGTGACGGCACCATGGTCGCGCCAATCGAAGTCGGAGGCTAGGTTATCGGTAGGAAGGATCGGCGCCTTCTGAGCATCGGCAGGAAGACGGAGCCGATTTACTCCAACGAAATTTTTACGGAACTCGTCTTCGGTGAGATCGGAGAACTGAGTAACGCCATGGATGGCGCCAGGATCGAGCTTCTGGTGGCGCTTGGCTTTGCGGAGATTAGCCTTGAAGATACGGAACCTGTAATCGTGCTCCTCATCGGTAGCGTAGGTCTTTCCAAACTTGAGTTTGAAGTTCTGGAAGTGTTGCTCCGCTGTTAAGAGACGATCATCGTCTCCAGATACGACTTGACGAATCAGAAGATCGTCGTCTTCAACGCCGTTGATTTGGTCGGAAGAGACGCCGTAAGCTACCGTCGCCGATAGTAAAATGGCAAACGAGAGAGCGATTACAGTGAGGCGCTCCATTGATACCGTAAAAGAGGGATACGGAATTCGTGATATTTTGGGGCTTATCGACTACAAATAAATGGAGAAATACCGCGATGGAGTGAACGGCAACAGTGCTGCCACGTATCCGATTCTGATTGGCTCAGTTCCGTGCGAGTTTGAAACAAAATTGACGGATATTATATAAAAATAAAAATAAAAATTATATCCATTTCTCCTATAAATAAATAATATCTTAATTTAAGTTGAAATCAAATATATTTTAAATTAAAAAAATATGGTAACTATTTTATTCATTATTTTTAAATTAAAATATTATTACCGTTGAAACGGACTCAAAGGAACTGATAAAACAGACCAAACTAGTCGATCTTTAAACTTTGGCTAATGCACGGTGCACACAGTTTCTTCAAAGATGCTTATTCTCGGGTTGATTCCTCTACAACAACAAGCGTTTTCCTTCGACATAATCAATAATTTATTTTACCAGCTCCAACCACGACGGCTCGATGTTGGAACTGAAAGAATGTAAACGGTTTAAAAATATAGATTTAAATGGTTTAAATATGAAAATAAGAGAAATTAAAGTTTTTGTTATTTAAAAGTTTAAAAAAAATTAAAAATTAAAAAATTAAAACCAGAATAATTTAAAAGTTAAAACAAATTACTAAAACATAAATAAGAAATAAAAGAAAAAGGAGATATTTTTAGGTAGTCCAACTTGGAGCTATAACTAATCGATAGACCGCGATGTGATTGGCAACCTTGATGCCACGTAGCGGTTCGGTTTTGTCCGAACCGAAAAATACAGTACAACAATGTCCGGTCCAAGGACAGATATTTTAGACTAAAATATATATTTTTTGAAAAATCTCTAAAATTGGTTATTTTTTAAAAAACTTTAATAATATGTGTAATTAATAAAATATATATTTTTGAGCTACAACATGTATAATTAATTATTCATTTGGACGACTACACTAACTAGTATAATTTTATTAAAATTATTTATTTAAAAATAATTATTTATATGGACGGCTAAATAATTTTTTTTTAAAAAACTTAAAATTTAATACATATTATTTATAATATTTATTAATAACAAAATTTAAATTAAATTAAAATTTAAAGTGTATATCTCATCCCATGTAATCTACTCTACCCAATATTTAATTTTAAAAATATAAATTAGATAAAATATTTATAATGGAAAGTTTATATAATTTTATTAAAATCATTTATTTGAGAATAATTATTAAGATTTATTATCATTTTATATTAAAATTTAATTAGTTAAAAGTGAGTTGTGATAGTTAAGAATATTTAATCATTTAGAATTAAGTAATAAATATTTTATTTATATGAAATTTTGATAATATTTGAACATTAAAAAAGAAAATATTTGAATTTTTAATTTAAAAAAATAAGTACATGTCAATTACTGTTCAGTTAGGTCACTTTAACGATCGAATATGTAATTTATATTATAGTGAGCTAAACGATCTTCGATCTTAATAATAATAAAAACATTATATGAATTCCATAACTAAAATTAATTTATCCATGAAATTAAAAATAGAAAAATGGAAAAACCGACGAATCCAAGATATATGTAACCTAAATCTAAATATCAACTAAAGAATGTTCCTTTGGTTCAGAGCAATGATCAGAAGCGGTCGGTAACACAGTAAATTACAATCTCCATCACAAAAAAAGTCAAAAATGGATACGAGGACGCTTATTTCAGTATCCAGATTAGAGCAGTTGTACGATACTCTTCTGGTATCGATTGCGTAATATTAAAGCTCCTTCCGACCACCGCATTCCAGTTCTTTAGGGTCCAGTCCAGTTCCGTCTACGGACTTTTACGCCTCCGTCGTCTCAACAAAAACAGAGTTGCAGAAATCTCGCCGGCGAAAGTTCAAACGTGAGAGAGAGAAAGGGAGAGAGAGGGAGAGAGATTCCGTAATCTGATAGATATGGAAGATGAGAACGGCGGCGGTAGTAGCAGTAACTTGGATACCGGGAAGGCGGATAGATCAGTGTGGCTGATGAAGTGCCCGTTGTTGGTCGCCAAGTCATGGCAGTCTCATCCTCCATCCGATCCTCTTCCTCTCGCTAAGGTCATCCTCTCTCTCGATCCTCTTCAATCCGACGAGTCCTCTTCTCTCCAGGTAATTTTAACAATTGATGTTTATGCGGCGAACTAATTTAACTCTTTCTTGAGTTTTCTCAGTAGGTTTAATTGTTGTTGGCTTTGAATCTCGTGAATTATATTGTTTCTGATTGTGAATTTGATCGGGACTTTGATTGTGGAAGGATAACCCTAGATTTTCTCTCGTTTGAACTTTGATCTCTTGGGAGGGATAGCTTGACTCTATGGTACTTGTTGCCAAGTTCTTTGACTAATACGCCCTAGATAAGGGAATTGTCATTAGTTTATTTATCGTAAGTACTGAGCCTTGGCCTCAAATTGTGCAAGATTTAAGTCTTCTTTTGAACTGTTTGAATCATGAATCTTAAATCTTCATGTAAGGCTGCGTACTTGGATAATGTCTCCATTGGTTTGTGTTGTGAAACCTTGTTTTTTTGGCTGTGGTTAAGGCCCTCACTTCCCTTGATGCGTTTGCTTGAAATCACATTTGTAAGGTTTAAGTGTCCTAAAAGAGTTAACATCTTCACTTGGGAGTTCATTCACGGTGGTATTAACACTCGAGACAAATTAGAGCTAGGAACACTCTTTTCACTCTATGTTCGAGTTGGTGCATGATGTGCAATGAAAGTGAAGGGACAAAGTACAGTTCCCCTTCGTCTTAGTTAACAAACCTTTTGTCGGCGTTTCTCTCACCGAAGAGATCACAAAAAGGCTTCTCAAATGGTGTTAATGACAAACAAATTATTATTACTAAGGAGAGTGGAAAGGGTACACCATATTGAGGTGTTAAACTGAGCTTTCTCCCATATGTACTTCCAGTTCTTCTTCCTCCATCAAAATTATTGGAAGTTCTTTCTCTCCATATTGATCAGAGAGTGCTCATAACGCGTCCATATTGGATCCAAATACATTTCTCCATTGGATGGCTCTTTCCCAACATGTGAGTCACGCATGTGAAACCCAATTAAATTGTAACTTCACAACAACTAACAAAAGAAGCTGATTGCAACACTCATCAAGTACAAGAAACTGATCGATCAATTTAAAAATTCAAGGGTATGATTGCAACATTTAACAAAGTTAAGGGTGCTAATTGATCAAATTGAAAGCTCAAGGGTGTGATTGTAACAAACTCCATAGTTCTGGGTGGTTTTGCAGTTTTTCCTTTTTTGTATTGTTTGGCTCTACTCAATATTTTGTCTATTATATTAATGAAATTTTGGTTTTTCATCACAAAAAAAAAATCATTATGTGTTCTGTCATTTCTATGTCGCTGTTCTATATTTTCTGCTATTTTTTTTTTCTTTTTCTTTCGTTAATTTTTTCTTTCCGTTGTTTGTGCTTGCTAGTTCTGTACTCTCTTAGTCTTTGTTGGACTATACGCTCTCAGATATACACATATTATGCATATATATATAGAGGAAGCAAATTATTTATTTTACATATCCAGCAATGATGGTGACTGTAGCCTGTAGCTCATTATTTATTGTTCTTTTTTCCGACACTGTTTTCCCTTATATGCTTCAAAATGTACCACAGTTCAAGATGGAGATGGCTGGAACTGAGACTGGAAACGTGCCAAAAAGTTTTTCCTTAAACATGTTTAAAGACTTTGTCCCCATGTGTGTCTTTTCTGAGGCAAGTCAAGGTGAGCATCATGATCCACATCTGAAATCCATTATTTATTTTTCCGGCATTACTGTTATCCTGAATGTGGCTTTATAAGAATATCCCTGATTTCGAGAAGTGTTTCTTCCTGTTTTGGTTATTGGTTTCTGTTAAGAACATCAATTTTGACTGATGGTGATGTAGATTTTTTATTTCATTTTTATTAAATTTGTATCTTAAATAAAGAACAGGGAAATTCATTGAAACAAAAAGGGGTAGAGCATAGAGGCCAGAAGGAAGAGGTATCCCTTTGCCAAGGAGGGTATAGACAGGCCTCTCCTTAACTAACAAAAAATGGTTACAAAAATTCCCCAGAAGAGACACTTCAAATGGAGAGGCCACTTTGGGGTTAAATTTAGTCCTAAAAGTATCACCAAATGTCATATTGGCCCTTTTTGTCCAAGTAGACAGTAAAAGTGCTATACCTGTGGTTTTCAATAAGATTAGCTTTTAAGTCAATTCTATGAGAGAAGTTCTGGGAGCTAATCAGCAATATTGTTAGGAACCAGAAATTGAGCCCAAAATTTTTCGGAAGGGATGCAACCTGTTAGTCACAAACTCGTAATGAATGAAAAACTGGTCTTTACCCTCATATTCTTTCTTATTTTTAGGACTGAGCGGAGATAGTGGAAATATTTTCTTGAGTTTTTGAACTCTTTAATGCCATGGATGATGGACCTGATATGGAACCTTTTTTCTTTTTGGGAACTTGCCACCACAAATGCACATTTTCAGTTGGATACGCAACTTAGACTTCATGCAATTGGATTCAAGTTGGTAAGTAGTTAAGTGCTCAATTTACAACAAATGAGCTGTTTCTTTAAGTCAGAGCCTGATCGTACTTAATTGGTTGGAGTGGTTCCTCTTCTCAATTTCTCTGTGAAAAAGGACCCCTTCAAATTAACATCCCTGCATTGAGAATTCTCTCTTCAAATGTCTTTGATAAGAAATCTTTAGTATTTGGCATAGTATAAATTTTGGGGAGGAGGTTCTCTGTATACTAGAATTGGCTCTAATATCTTCCAGAAAACAAATTTTGTTTGATTCCAAACTTTGATAAATATGCATCTTTTCTCATAAAAGATGAAACCTCAAGTCATAACGTCTATGGTTACCTTCAATTTTCCGTATGAATCACCCAAGAGAGTTGGAACCAAGTTTGCTCCAATGAACTGTCTTATATTGGGTATTCTCCTCGTTTCCATGTGAATTTTATAGTTTTTCTTTGTCTCTAAGATTCCCAACCCCTATTCTTCCATAAGAAGTTGAGACTTGAGAGTCGTTGATTCCACTCTTCTTCCAAGTGAAGTCTCCCTTAGGGTTTTCTCCATACTTCTAGTCTTTGAAAAGGCTTCTAAATAGGGAGCAATAATATTTTGGAATTGGATGGAGGGAGAACCATTCAAAATTTTATGTTCGTCAATCCAAGTTATTATTGTTGTTTTTTGTGGTAAATTTTATGTTCCTTTCAACACAGTCTAAATTCTCTCTGTTCCAATTTCAGAAAGCTTTTTGTAATCTTCCTGGATTGGGGCCCGGGCTCGTGTTTCCTTCCCTTTTGTAATTTGTCCTCTTTAAGGACTTCCCTTTACGTCTCAACCAACTTCGTAGCCTTCATTTTATACAAGGAGTTAGCTGAATTTATTGGTCTACTCACTATAAACTTTTTTTTTTTTTGTTTTGTTGGTGCATTTGCTGATGACCCACTTTCCGAAAAGAGATCTTGGATCTCTCTGCAATCTTCTTTGAAAATGTAGGGTTTTCATTCCTTTTCAACACTTCGGCACTTATACCGCCCTGGCCTGATGGGGCTTTCAATTTACAAGTTTTTTAGCTGCTTCATGGATACCCTCCTCCCCAATAGGTCCCTCTAGCCACTCACTTCAAGTTGAGAAAATGGCTCTGCAACAAACATTATGGAAGAGTGACCTCTTATTGTTGTTTGTTGAGAATAGCTTGCCAAAATAATCTATTGCGTTGTTCACTAACTCTTCTTCAACACTGATTTTTTACCTTGAACATCAATTGACAAAAACATGTACCCTCGACCAAGCGGTCAAAGGTTCAAATCTCCCGCATATTTAAAAGTTATGGATAATGTTTTCTCCAACGAATCTTTCAAAGAAATCAGCTTGAAAACTATTTGCTTTAAGTTAGAATGAAGATGCATGCACAGAAATCAGCTCATGAATTATCATTTTGATCGTTCGTTATTGAATTTGACTCTTTAAAGATTACTCCAAAAAAAATTCTTTTGTAGGTAAGATGTCAATGGAAGGGAAGGTAGAACATAAATTCGATATGAAGCCTCATAGTGAAAATCTTGAAATGTACGGGAAATTGTGCCGTGAAAGGACAAACAAGTCCATGGTCAAGAACAGACAAATTCAAGTACATCATCTAAACCCCTTATTTTCCATACTTCCCTTTTAGCATTCCATGTTTGCAATCAATTTTGCATTTTACCGTTCGCTTTATGTGGTGGTAAGGTGATAGACAACGACCGTGGGGTGCATATGAGGCCAATGCCTGGTATGGTCGGTTTGATCAGTTCAACTTCAAAGGTACATCTTTTCTCTGCTTTTACTTTCATCGTTTTTCTGAACTTTCGTGTTCGAAGTATGATTCTATGATTAATCATTTATGGCAGGATAAGAGGAAGGTGGCGCCAGTTAAACAACCAGAAGTAAAAAGAACTAGAAGGGATCGTGGGGAACTGGAAGATATAATGTTCAAGCTATTTGAAAGACAGCCGAATTGGGCCCTAAAGCAGCTAGTCCAAGAGACTGATCAACCTGCAGTACGTCTATTCATCATTTCCTCATTTATCATTGTTTTTTAAAATATATTATGCTTTTTCGGACGATATTGACTGAGAAGATCGGCATATTACCCTCTTGACATACACGAGACACCATACAACCTTCCCCTCCCCAAAACTCAAAACTTCATTATAGATCAAAAAACATAAGAGATTATAAATTTGTGGATATATAAAATGTTCATCATATTTGTTCTTGGCTTTTGTGTTATATGTAAAAGGATGTCAGAGTGCTCAAAACAATTGGTGTGCCTTCTCTATGCAGCAATTCTTGAAAGAGATACTGAATGAGCTTTGTGTCTACAACAAAAGAGGGACTAATCAAGGAACCTACGAGCTTAAGCCCGAATACAAGAAATCGGTTGAGGATACCGGCGGAGAGTAGGTTCGTTTTCGACTGTATCATTTTATACATTCCCTTCTCTTTGGGGTAGGTGGAAACGATGTGGAATAAATCTGCCAATTAAGAAGGAAAAAAAAAAAAAGGATTTTGCTTTTGTTATAATTTCATGGGAGGGAAAGATGGGAGGATGAAATGAAATAATTGATAGGCAGCTTTATACTGAAGTGAAACCAAAGGTGAAATGAAAGTTGGGGGGAAGTTCTTATGTCATGTTTTTGCATATTACGTACATGGTCGGAAGTTGCTAAATGTATCTGTATAATGACTTTTATGAGCATGCCAAGATCTTGATTGATCGTTCATTATCTTAAAATTTGCTGTAGTTTCTTCAAGAATTTGTTATTTGATTGGCTGTTTGATATGATAGGCTGTGTTTGGTTGGTTATTTGATTCTTTTCTTTGAAAATTAGGAATTTAGGGTCCGTTTGATAGTGTTTTCGTTGCCCGTTTCTCGTTTCTCGTTTCTCGTTTCTCATTTCTTTGTCTTTTGTTAAGAAAAATAGGAGTTTTCTTGTTATTTACTTTTAATGAAAAAATGAAACGGAAACACGTTTAGGGTAGAGTATAGTAGAATTGAATTAGATTGTAACCCTGTTTTTAGGTTGGTTGAGTTGACTCAACAAAAAAGAAGTCAACCTACTCGAAACTTGAACGGCAAAAGAAAAAAAACTAATTGAACCCAACTTTTATGGTTTGGGTTTGACAATTTAGATTGGTCGAATTCTTGGGTCATATGTATGCTTCATATGCTTGATATGCTTGATGACCCTGATATTCTTATGTGATAGGGTCATGCTACTTACTCCTCACTTTTGTGAGTGAAAATTATCCCTCACGGACAAACCCGAGTCCTTTCAGCATGTTTTGTCTTCTCTCACATGTTTCTTAGAAAAATTTTCAAAAAAATCACACGACATAAAATTGTTTGAAACAAAACATGCAACTTTAGAATTTCTATGATTGAACGACCGGAAAAGATGTACATTGATGGTATAAGTTGTGACTCCCAACTCATTCATTCGAGCAACTTGCAAACCCTAATTCAAGCCTTGATTAGGAACCAATTATAATTTGCATGGCTTTTCTCCCTGATAAACTTGTTCAAACTTGACATCATGACACCACCCATTTATCATCGGTCGAAAAGGGACTTAAAACGGTGGAGGCTCATTGAGTGGGTGTTTGAATACTCCATTATAGTAATGTTTCATTTCAACTAATGTGTCAATCCTCATTTAACACATTTTGAACTAAGATTCCAATTCATCCACACCCCTAAATCTCTGCTCCTATCGGGGATAGAATTTCCATTTAGACGGAGAATGTGAGAGGGAGGGGAGAGAGATGTCAACTAAACAGATTCAAAGACGGGATTATATCCACCCGCATTATGAAATACTATTAGATTTATTAGAATGTTATACATCTGAATATCCAGAGAATCTCCACCTCTGAAAATTTTTGAGGGGATGAGAGAGTTGAAATAGGAGGTGAGAACGAGAAAAAAGAAGGGTTCCTAGTCTCACTCCCCTATGCCTCTAATTGTATGCAGACAACTGTTCGAGATTGAGAAAAAAAATGATAAATTACAATCTATTGGTCATGTCATACTAAATTAGTTCATTTATTTTTTCAGGAGACGTAAATCACGACATTATTTAGCTAAGAAATTGACGATATGGTAAATTTTTTAAGTGCTTCTAGTATAAATACACTATGATTAATTCTCACATTAGACCCATTTGTCGTGAATATTGACATGACAGGACAAATCTTTTAAAAAGATACGAACGTATAAAATAAAAAAAAAAAAGTCGATTTTGGTGTTGATGACATATTCGAGGAGAGATATAGCCACACTTATCTTCTTCTTCCACTACCAAATAGATGATTGTGACAAGAGCCATAGCCCACAAACAAAAACTATGTACTGTACGCCTTCGACGAGCTTGAGAAAGAGAAGTACCATTTGTTCGGGGATTAGGGTTTCTTAATAAAAACATAATAGTCGGTGGCTTGCAAATTGCAGCTACTCATAACGTTTTAAGGACAGCTAGAGTCTAGTTTGATAACTATTTAGTTTTTAATTGTGAAAATTAAGTTTATAACTATTACTGTCACCTAAGGATCCATTTTATCTGCGAGGTCGAGGAACCCTCCTCGTTCAGACGGATAATGGGGTTGTTAGATAATTCTTTAGGGCTTGTTGGTTCATATCTCTAATTCTTTGTCTAAGACATCATCCAAACATGTTCTAGTAACTGCCCTAAACTTGTCTGCCATTACTTACCTCCTTAAGTAATATTAAGCTTTAAGATCGACCCATTACTTACCTCCTTTAGGACCATCTGCCCTTAACTTGTCGGCCAGTGAACCTAGCCAATGGCTTGCTTACTCCATTGCTTATTGGACGTCCTTACCATGTCCCTATCAGTTTAGGGTAAGATAAAGAATTGAAAGAGAAGGCCATGAAAAAACCACTAACTAAGCTTTTGAGCTATTTGAGCTATGAAATGTCCATTAGGTGCTTTGAATTATAGTTGCAAAGTACCGAACCCTAACCCGAACCCTAACCTATTATTATTCTAATTTTATGTGGATCAGGAATTGTATTTGAGATGTTAAACGTTGATATCAACAAAGACGTTTGAAGTTTTTTTGATCTTATGAAGATAATGATGAAAATATTGATATCGATTGGTATCTCGAAAAGAAATGCGTGAAATGTCATGTTAGAGACACATCGGGGCTTGAGATTATGATTGGAAATAAACTACCAAACCCTAACCCTAACCCTAACCTTCGACCTAACCCTAACCTTAGTCTATTATTATTCTAACTTAAATCTCTAGGATTCGGAGTTTATATTCAGCATCTGATGGCTCTGATATTTTCCTACGACATGGTCACGTTACTTACTCCTCAGTTCTAAGGGTGAAAACTATTCTCACAAACCAACACGAGTCCTTCCAGCATGTCTTGTCTTAACTCACATGCATCTTGGAAAAATTTCAAAGAGGTCACCGAAATAGAATTTCTCTAAGCAAAACACGCTTAATTATGATTGAGCCTCTGAGAAAGAAGGTGCATCTTGTTGGACTTTCAATTCTTTTAAGTATTTCTCGATCATTCTATCATAAGGATCTCTCTAATTCAGATGATTCTTAGTTTATTCATGTACCTCTCATTTACTCGAACGTCACATTTATTATCAAAAGTCTTTAAATTATGTAAATTAAACTATATTAATTACTCAAAAAATTAATTAAATTAATTTTCCTTGTTAAATAGCTACAAATGTGGTTGGGAGAAATTAAAGGCATGTTTGGAGAACAATGAACAAATATCCATTTGCATTCAATTTGGTTATTGATTTTGTTCCCTAAAATGGAGAAATAAGCATGCAATTTTAATTAATCAATGCTTATTATTATTATTATTATTATTATTATTATTATAACAACATAATTATTGCTAATTATTCACTTTAATTTTAATTACCTCTGCGCCTTTCATTATTACTCCCCAAAATCTTACTTTTACCTTTTTCCTTTAAAGGTAAAAATTAACTTTAATGGAAAACTATATAATATTATCATTTAATATTAACGTTAAGGTAAAAATTAGTGTTCCCGCTGACACTGATTCCATTCTCTAGTTGATATAGGACCCCCCCAATCCACCCCGTTTCGGGACCCAATGTTCTTGTTGGCACACCACCTTATGTCCAACCCCCTTAAGGACTCAGTCTTTTTGCCGACACATCGCTAGTGTCTGGCTCCGATACATTGTAATGCCTCAAGTTCACGACTAGAAGATATTGTTCTCTTTGGACTTTCCATTTCAAGCTTTCCCTCAACGTTTTTAAAACAGATTTGCTAGAGAGAGTTTTTCATACTCTTATAAAAAATGTTTCGTTCTTTTCCCCAACCGATATGGAATCTCACGCGTTCTATTTTCAAGATCACTCTCATTCGGATGTGATATCGGTTCATGCAAGTATTCCTTTATCTGAGTGTCGCATAATTTTACTATAAACATGAATTTCGGGAAGATTATGGAGAGGTTAAAAACTTCCCCTAACTCGAAAAAATATATATTTTTTATTTTTAACAAAAAAAAATTATTATATGATTCAAATAGTATAATAATAATTTTTTTATATATATTTAAAAAAGAAAATGAATTTTAAGGGGGGAAAAACTCATAATAGCTGTCGGGCGTGTGAGTGTGAGGGCCGACCGACCAACCCGAGTCAAAGAGAAGATAAGACTGCGGGACAAAATTGAATGAAAACATTCACAACTGGCTTGGTCGGGCCGGTGTCCGACCGGTTCATGCGCTCCCAATACCAAATACTCTCTTTTATAATATGGCTGTCAGATATATTAAAATAAATAATTTCCATAAATAAAAAAGCTCTTTTTAATCATCAAAATATCTTATATATTATTATTATTATTATTATTATTTTCAAATATGTTTATTTTTACTATTGTGCTTGAAATGATTATGGTCTGAATTGAGGGGTACAGCTTGTTTGGTAAAGGGAGGGTTAATATTATATATATATATATATATATATATATATTTTTTTTTTTTTTAGAAAAGAAAAAAATATATATAGTGATTAAATAATATTTTTTTTCTTATTTAATGACTAAATTATAATTTAATTATTTGTATTATTAAGATTTAAAATAATAAGAGCATGCATGGGAGTGCCCACCACCGGCGCTCGTGCGCGTAACGCTATTTTGTTCATCCTTTACTTTTTATTTTATTTTATTTTATTATTTTATTTTATCATATTATTATTTATATTTGTTTTATTTTAATATTTTAATATTTTTTTCTCCATGACCAAACACACTTAATCCTCATTAATTCCATTATTCCTCTTCTCCTCCTTCCTCTCTCCTTCCTCTCATTTTTAATATTTAAAAAAAAAATCATAAATATGTTAAGTTATATAAATTTAAAAATAAAATTAAAAAATTGAATATTTTATTTAATATTTTTTAAACTTAAAAAATTTATCCACAAAAATAAATTCGAATATGTAAAAAGCATGTGAGCTAAATTTATTGTGAGATCCCAGATCGATCGGAGAGAGAACAAAACATTTCGTGTGGAAACCTTTCCTAATAGATATGTTTTACAACTGTGAAATTAATAGTGATATGTAATTGGCAAAAGCCGACAATATTCCTAGTGAGTGGACAATATTTACTGGCAATTTGAGCTAAGGTGGACAATATGTGCTAGTAGTTTGGGCTAAACAATATCTGCTACTAGTTTGGAT